GTGGTTGCTGTTTTTTGCTGTATATCATATTTGTTTTTTATTCATTGTACATAAATCAGGCCGTTAGTTTTCTCATTTGAATTCTTTTACATTTGTCATTTCAGGGCCTAAGACTTAAAGCTGACTATGCAGTATGGGTTTTGCTCATTGTTGAAGGCCTTTCTGTGACCTATATTTGTAAACTTCTGTCATTTGGTCTCTTGTGGAGAGTTGTATAATTGGCAATCATACCACATCTTTTTATCTTTATATGTGGGGTAAATGTCAGTGCGATGACAACCCAACCATAATAGAATGAAAAATATAAATATGTTGGCTAAAGAGGTAATTGTTGTAGACTTTGACTTCCTGTCCCAACATCCAAGATTGGTGCCACTTGAAAAAACGAATTCTTCTATATGGGATTTATATACTAGTAGTAATGCATAAAATTATAGCCATCATCTAACTCAAATACATGTACAATGTACAATCATTCAATACACCATATATAGTTGACCTATTGCTTATAGTTTCTAAGAAACAGACTTAACCAGGAAAACTTAACATTGACCAATGAACCATGAAAATGAGGTCAAGGTCAGATGATACCTGCCAGACAGACATATACACCTTACAATCATTCCATACAACACAAATAGTTGACCTATTGCTTATAGTTTAAGAAAAACAGACCAAAACATAAAAAACTTAACACTGAGCAATGAACAGTGAAAATGAGGTCAAGGTCAAATAAAACCTGTGAGACTGACATGTACATCATAAAATATTTCCATACGCCAAATATAGTTGACCTATTGCATATAGTATTAGAAAAAAAAGACCAAAACACATAAACTTAACTTTGACCACGGAACCATAAAAATGAGGTCAAGGTCAGATGACACCTGCCTGTTGGACATGTACACCTTACAATCATTCCATACACCAAATATAGTAGACCTATTGCTTATAGTATCTAATATATGGACTTGACCACGAAAACTTAACCTTGTTCACTGATCCATGAAATGAGGTCGAGGTCAGATGAAAACTGTCTGACGGGCATGAGGACCTTGCAAGGTACGCACATACTAAATAGAGAATATCATATAGCTTTTTCAATATCACATCCGTATCAACCTGAGACACCAATATAATCCCAAGAGCTCTGCTAGAGGGATTATATTGGTTGAGGGTTGATACGGTGTGTGATATTGAAAAAGCCATATCATATACACTTTATTATATACATATACCTCAAGTAGATGTTTTTTTATGTGACATGACGTCATACAGATAAGGAGGTTTGAAATGACGTCATACAGATTATAGGTTTGACATGACGTCATACAGATTAGGGGTTTGATAAAGCCTTTGCAACATTGACTGCAATCGATGACGGGACATCATACAGATTAAAGGTGTGTTAAAGCCTTTGTAACCATGCTGATATCGATATCATCACGGGTGGCTGATACAGCATGCTTGCCAATGATTGTATTTCGAATACAAATTATCTGTATTTACTACTAAGTATATAATAAATACAGTTATCCTATTACTCATAATAAGAAAGAAATTAACATTACAAAAAATGTTAACTTTTTTTTCAAGTAGTCACTGAACCATGGAAATGAGGTCAAGGACAATGGACATATATGACAGACGGAAACTTCATAACATAAGGCATCTATATACAAAGTATTTGAAGCATTCAGGTCTTCCAACTTCTATAATATAAAGCTTAAAAGAAGTAAGCAAAGTAAGAACTGACCTCCAAACGATCCATGATTCTGTAATGAGGAGTACCCAAATTGCATCCATGCTTAAATTCACATCCTCAAAAATCGAATTACAGATAATTTGTTTTATTTCTTCAAATATTTCAGAACAATTTGAGATTAATCTATGCTTACTATTCATCTTTTAAGAAATGGAGCCTTGTAACATATTTTATTTGCTCATTTTTAAAAGATGACCTTTTTGTGGACATCGCATGGCGACGTTTCAACATTTTCCCTTTACCAGTGAATACTTCATCTGTTGGTGTATACTGTGAATGTTTTGTGTATATTTAAATATATTAACCTATGTTGAAAGACGTGCATAATGTCAAATCATAAAAATACAAATTGTTTAGTCTCTAAGAAAACTTGTAAGATTTCCGCTGCTACTTTTGCTAAATAGGTGCAATTTGGGTACCGTGACGTTAGCATTAATTCTTAGTTTGCTGAAAATGCATGAACAACAGGTACTTGAAATTGAACTTTTGACCTTAGTTTTGGTCAATTTTAAATTTCTGTCAGACTTCCTCATCTGAGTGAAGTAAACTGAAGCACTCCTTACCATACTCAACAAGAAGGACTTGAAATCTGTTAATCATTTTAGCCATTTAATTATCAGGATGAACTTGTTATAATCATTTAATCAAGTACATCAAATAAATATCTATGTTTGATAACATTTGATTACATATCTCCCTGGCTGAGATTTTAGACAGATTTGTAGTCAACAAAACCAAATCAAAACACTTGTTAGAGGATTTAATCTGAAGGGGGTACATACTTTTTTATTTCTTCAAAAAATACTTCTTTTATTAAGCTTGAAGTGTGAAATATTTGTACATCTTCTGTTAATCATTTCATTAAAAAATATATAAAAGTGCTTAGTTTTATATCAATAAATAATTAACCTTAAGCTTATCCTCAGACATAAAACAAAAGTTTGTATAACTTTCAACTGTACATGTGATGGGAATTTTTCCAACAACTTTCATCTATTTTGGTAATTAGATGTTCCAAAAGAACCTGCTTTGAAACTCAATACTGAAAGAACCTGAATTGTAACTCAAGGCTAAAAGAACCAGGCTAGAATAATTTGAATTGTAACAAGATTAAAAGAACCGTAGTTTGATAATCTGGTACCCTGATTCACTTATTGTTAATACTATAATAATCACAATTCTAAATTTTGGCTACACATGTTTTGATGTTAAGATTTACTAAGAGTTTCATAGGCAGACTCCTTGCCCCCCTACCACAAAAGTTTGTGAATCTTAGTGCATTTTTTTTATTTTTACTGCTTGGGCCCAACTTATTTTTCAGTGGGCCCCTCTGCCCTACCCCCCTTTATGAACTACCTAGATCTGCCACTGGGTATTAGTCTTTAATAGTCATGGCAAGAGTTTCAGATTCAGATGGGATTCTTGAAAGAACCCAGTGTTCTCCATTTGGATTTTTAGCATCAGGGTATTGTACCCTCTGTATAAACATCTATGTCAGTTAATGATGTCTGCAGCCAGTACTTAAAAACTGGTTGGCATACACACTATATATAAAGCAAGACACTGGAGTTCCTATCTATAGTACATGTGTTACATATATCCCATTATTCATGTCGCACAGGCTATGATTATGTTTTATATTGGAAATAACGTGATCATGTTTAATTCTTAGCTTAGTTCTCAGATACTAATTGGCCCTCAATAGTGTTACTTGGTTTAAGAATGCATCTTTAGCCTTCAACAAAAATCATGTCACACTTAGCTTACAGTTGACACATAAGTGACTTATTTCATTTATGTAAGTGACTTGGGATCTCAAGTACTAAGTGGCTTACAATCAAATTTGTTATCTTATATCTGTGGGTATGCCAGCCTCATGAAAAAAGTAGTTCACTTGTAGGCACAAACCAGTCCTCTTTTTCTCAATAAAACATTTCCAAATGGGACTTATCACCAATATTTTACTTGCCAAGAGCATATATATAGCTGCAACATGTGGGGTGCCACTTTAAGACATTGGGCTTTCTGCATGCTTTTTAAAACAATTTTATTGACCCATTGTATATTTTCCCATTGAGTTATAATAAGTATTAGGTCCTAGTTCAGCTCTTGGGTTCTAGGTCAGGCCTACAATTATAACTATGAAGATCCATGTTTAAAAGCATACAGACTCTGGCCTACATTTCAAGCTTCATTAACTTACATAGATGTGAAGTTTTAAGACAGAGCTCAGCATCAGATACTGTTTGGCCTATGAACATTTAAAGATGCATCAATGGAAGTATAAAGGCCTCTTACCAAAAGTTAGTCACCCTTAATTATCTTTCATGCTTCAAGGAATTTGATTAAATTTTTGTAAATTTTAATGAGCAATGATTTAAAAGAGAGGGGAAAGATACCAAAGTGACATACACCTTATCGCTATTTGTCCGCCATTACTGGACATCACACAAGTTCCCGTAAAATTTTGACGTCATAATAGAAAATATCTGACGCCACAATGGAAAAGTGATTGTTGTATGACGCCAAAAGTTCGAGCGGGACTAATTCTCGGGTCAAGCGGGATTAGCTAGCGATAAGGTGTATTCAAACTCACAAATCAGAAACAAACTGATAATGCCATGGCAAAAAACAAAAAAATGATGAAAAGACAATTAACAGTAGGGTATTTAGATGGATTCAATGGTCTTATGAATCCCACCAAATGCAGTCATTTTAACCATCATGTCAACGCTTTTTGTATCATAACATCGTGATGATCATATAAATTGTAAAAAAACGATTGGGAGAATTATGGATGATATTTGTAACTTGCGATTACCTATGTTTTATTTATTTCATCTACAGCTACAAGTGCAATATAATTTGCCATAGCACCACTGAAATTATCTTAATGCAGTATTTTATGATTACCAGTCTGCTAATAATTCTATTTTCAGAAACAGTCATTGTCCTTGTCAGTTTGCAATTCCAAAAATACAATATTCTAAGATGCACAATTTTTACAAGAAAGTTAGTCAGCTGTGTTTTTTTTTTTTTTAATTTTTGACTTCTTTTTTTACAGTGTCATTTTTGCTTGGCAGACTAGGTATTCTAGATTAATATTGCTGTTTTATTCCTAAACATTGATTCAAATATTAGATTTATCATTCATGAAATTTCTAATGCAAATATAATAAATGAAAAGCATTACTGTTTTGATACATGTCAATGAATAAAGGAAGTAAAAACCTACCATTTTGATCTGTGGAATCTTTTTTATCCGTTTTAATATTCAAAGGTTGTTTTTCCTCATCAAATTCTAAATCCACTACCACAGGAGTCACTTCAAAACATTTTTTCTCTGTCACAACATTAATCATAGGAATGCCATTTTGGGGGTCGTCAATATTTTTCCCCTCCACCTGTATAACAGGTATCTCATGGTACTGAGTGGTATCCTCTTTCACCATTATGCTTACACGTAAAAAGGAGCAAAGATCCTCACCTTTTTGGAATGTACATACAAGGAAGATTTTAAATCAAAATTTCTCAATATTCTTTCCTTTATACATAGTTTTTAAACTGCCAATCACTAACAAAATGAAATAGAATACCCTCCTTCGATAGAAATTTCATCAAAAGAATTTAAATCCAACAACCATGTCTCCTGTGGAAATGATCTACTCCAAAAGGTATCATAAAGAAAATAAATTCTAAAAACTGCTCTGAGTATTTAAATATTTACTTTTTTAATATCCATGTGCATTTAAAAAGTTTTCTTATACTCAAACATATGGAAAAGTATGTATCCCATACTGACTGATTTTCACTGATCCATGCCTCACAAGCTATCTATCTCTAATTGTTTTCCAACAGATCTGATAAAATCACTTATTACCATTGATCATCCTTGACAAAACTCCCAATCATCCGTAAAATGATGAAAATCACAAGAAAAAAAAAGAGAAAGTCAATAGATCCACATTAATCCTAATAAACAATGCACATCCGACCACAGGAGGTAAATTAGGAACATCTGATACCCCCTGCCCAGTGTACTCTTGTTAGATAAAAGTTTCTTAAAAACTCTTTGATGTTCAATATCATAATTACTCATATGACTAGATTACAATCTATCAGAATCTATATATAGAATATATTTTTCATTCAGACAAATAAAACACAAAAATAAATGCGCATATCAATAACTGATGTTTAAAGTAGCTAAAAATACAAACAAACCCCACATAAAGTTAAATAAACATTGAACTTTTATAAAATTAGAAGAAAGACAAACAAATGATAATTTGATTTTGTAGAATACATATGTTCCAAGCGTATTAGATTTATTCTTCCCTTATCTCACAAATTATTTGTTTCAATTAATAGACAATGGACTATCTGATGTAGTGGGATGAAATTGAATTCTACATTTCTCATTAAATTTTATCCCATATATTTCTAAAAAAAAATTTGTAAAAAGAAGCAGCTTCCCATCATGTCTCTGTTTTATTCGCTTTAAAAAAAACCTTTGCTTTGTTTTCCACTGTACAACTGCAGGGATAAAATAGAACATAAATTGACAAATCAAAATAAGTACAAATGAAAAAGTTTAAATACTATGTAGTAATTCTTGTAGTAGAAATGTAAATGAATTATTTTACTATGCAAATATATACTGCTTTATAACTCCATTGATTTTTCATTATTAAAGCTTCTACACCCTATGTATAAATCCATTAAAATTAACCAAGCATTAAAATCTTAACACAAACTGAAATTTAGGTTCTTTTCAAATTTCCAAAATCTGTAAAGTTCTTTCTCTTTCTAATTGTTATATGTTTCAAAATCTTTCTATCAATTTATTCAACTGCTGGTTACTGCTTTTCAAAACTCCTAAGCAGTTTTTAACTTAAAGTGCATAAAACAATTTAAAATTCAATCTAAGTTCTATCAGATTTTGTAACCTTCATTATTCATTTTGTTCGAAATCTACACCCTGTTAAAAATAAACAGTGAATCAGAAGAGATCAAATATTACATAAGTCAAATAGATTTGAACAGCAATAAAAGCATGTGCAGAATTAATTTTCAATTCTTCAAGACTTAGTAACAGTACATTAGCGCTAAAGCTCAGTTGAGTGCTGAAAGTTTGGCAAAAATTGACTATAATCAATGATACAATATCAGACCTCCATTATTGATCAGCGTTGTCTGCCACCTTCACGGTTTCTCAAAATACTTGTTTTACTTAATTATCACCTCAAATTATCTGTAAATATCAAAAATTGTCTTTTCTGCAACATATCAACAAATACTGACTGTGGGAGACCCTCATGGGTAGTCAAGGTCGTTAAACACCCCCTAACTTTGCCTGCCAACACTTGCCACTACTGGCAGCAAATACAGATTTTGTTTGATTAAGATTTGCTGTTATAAAATTTTTGCAATGTATTTTAAATTAAGGAATATATTTATATACCTTCCTCATGCAAAGCTCTGATTCCTTGTCCGGCTTTGGCTACCCGGTATACTTTAAGGTGTTTTTTGACCCGGTATACTTAAAGGTGTTTTTTGGTTTGATGCACTCTTTCTACATATGTATTAGATTTTGGAAATTGAGTAGTTTGTCCTAGAGCATTCACTGAAGAGACATTAATTGTCGAAATGCGCATCTGGTGCATTAAAAATGGTACCGTTTAAGTTATTGGAACTCCAAAAAAATAAGTTTTTGTTGGTTTGAAAAAAAAAAGAGAAAATAGTACGGTAAAATAAGTACAACCAAACAATAACTACTGTTTAAACAGAATAATACAGTCAGTCAAAGGGAATCTTATGTAAATATTTGAATAAATCAATCCAATAATTCACTTTTGTACTTAACATTTTATGAGCAATAAATGTTCAATACACAACATAAATTGTGTGAAAAGGAAAAATCTTAAGGTGGAGAAGAGCAACACAACTCTCACTGTCAATTATCTGTAAAATCTAAAAAAAAATAAACAATTTTGACTAGACATGACTAGACATGCAATAAAATTAAAGGAAATTTCATGTTCAATTGTATCATACAAACACCTACTTATTAAATCAATAAATGTCTGATAGAGAAACATTTACCTTCACATCAATATAAGTTTTCTAGTGCATATTTAAATTTATATAAACTAGTATGTTAGGTCTAAACAATAGACTAAATAGTTTTCCAATATGAAAATAACGACAGGTGTGGTAACAACTATCCACCAAGGTCTGATTGACCTTGATGTAAGAAACTAGAGGTCATCGTACTGCTTTCATCAATGAGCAAAACCCGAAAAATAGTACTTTTAGTTACTGTCAGCTAATTCAAAGCCAATCATAACTAATAAATAAATAGTGTTCCCCTAGACTAGTACCAATTGGTCCACATCCACTGGATTTTTTTGTAAAGTATGAAAAAAGCATGACCAATCTCTTTTTATCGGGGGAGGATCCATGTAGTGCTGGTGGTCCCCAGGCCCTTTGGCCCATAATTTGTGGTTTTTTAAATATATTTCTCTGTTGCCTTCTATTTTCCATGGGGCTTTTATGCCCCACTCCCCCCTTTTATAAGTCCTGGATCAGCATATGATTTTGATCTCATTTCAGTTTTGACAATTTACAAAGCTTGCAACCTTTGATGATTTATATGCTTCTGCATAATCATGTAAATCGAGGAAATGTGCAGACATACTGTTGAAATAAATTTCATTTATACCATTTCTTATCGTGGTCAAAGTTTAGCCTGCTAATTTGAATTCACATACTTATGCACACTGATTTCTAAAAAAGTCCATGCCAAATATTCTAACCTACAGAGTAGACATGTCACTTTCACAATCATTTAGATGTTACACATTTAGATCCTTGGCAATTTCAAGAAATGCCTTCAAAAATAACCTATTTAAATTAAGGCATGCTTTTGCACTTTAAAGAAACAAAAAGGTCATGTAAACCGTAGGAATTTTTTTTTCTCCCATTGAATAATTATGGATATTAGATGTTGATGAAGACTATGATTGTTAAAGTGACAAGTCTACTGTGAAAGTGACATGTCTACTGTGAAAGTGACATGTCTACATTGAAAGGGACATGTCTACTGTGAAAGTGACATGTCTACTGTAAAAGTGACATGTCTACATTGAAAGGGACATGTCTACTGTGAAAGTGACATGTCTACATTGAAAGGGACATGTCTACATTGAAAGTGACATGTCTACTGTGAAAGTGACATGTCTACTGTGAAAGTGACATGTCTACTGTAAAAGTGACATGTCTACTGTGAAAGTTACATGTCTACTGTGTAGTTAAAAAGGATAATAATGAAACTGAAGAAGGCCAGTGGCTGAAATCTCTTAAAAAATGGAAAAATAAAGAAATTAAAATGTTATCTATTGCAATGGTTGTGCAGGATTTTTAAGTTTTATCAATTCAAATAATAAAATTATGGCTTGAATTTAATTAACTGAAGTTCCTTCTCAATTCTCTATACTTTCCACAGCTCACAAATTAGAAATATCAAATCAAAAATTTTGGTCAAAACAAATATGATTGATGAACTCCATAGCAAACAATTACAGATTCCCTACTGATTCTACAAATCTGTGATGGGCTACTGTCAGATGAGTCCTATTGACGAACTTTCATCACTGTTGGGTCACGGATCAATGCAAACTCAATCCAATGTTATTTGTTTCAATAAATCTAATATTTCAGACTGTGTACAATATATATTACATCAATTTCTGGTAAATACTTGTCAAATTTGTGATATTTTTGTCAGATTTGTATGTAAATTAGAACATACCTTGTGATATGACTGCTGTTTGTTTAATATTTTAATAATGTGATGAGAGATAATAACATAATAACACTTTCTTATTATACTTAACTTAAAACTGAAAAATAAAGAATTGGGAATCAGGAATTTATTGTAAAAATCTATGTGCAAAAGAATCTGATTTTACAAAATGACTTACTGCTTAATATGTGCTTGATGATTAAAAATAATTTTTAAAAACATTAGCTGCTGACAATTAAACATATTAGTTTTCTCAATTGAATCATTTCATATTTTTCATTTCAGGGCCTTTTATAGCCGACTATACTGTATGGGTTTTCTCATTGTGGAAGGCCGCATGGTTGCCTTTAATTGCTTACATCCACTTCATTTGAACTTTGGTGGATAGTAGTTTCATTGGCAATTATTACACATCTCCTTATTTCAATATTGGACCAAAATAAATCGTCTCCCTTTGCAAGAAAAGTCAAATGGAGTTTTTTAGGGCATATGATACAGTTACAGGGGAGATAATCTAAATTGTCTCTATAGGTAACCTGTTAAGGGCATACAATATAGTTACAGGGGAGATAATCTAATTGTCTCTATAGGTAACCTGTTTAAGGGCATAAGATACAGTTACAGGGGAGATAATCTAAATTGTCTCGATAGGTCACCTGTTTTAGGGCATATGATACAGTTACAGGGGAGATAATCTAAATTGTCTCTATAGGTAACCTGTTTTAGGGCATATGATACAGTTACAGGGGAGAAAATTTAAATTGTCTCTATAGGTAACATGTTTAAGGGCATACGATAGTTACAGGGGAGATAATCTAAATTGTCTTTATAGGTAACCTGTTTAAGGGCATGTACGATACAGTTACAGGGGAGATAATCTAAATTGTCTCTATAGGTCACCTGTTTTAGGGCATATGATACAGTTACAGGGGAGATAATCTAAATTGTCTCTATAGGTAACCTGTTTTAGGGCATACGATACAGTTACAGGGGAGATAATCTAAATTGTCTCTGAAGGTAACCTGTTTTAGGGCATACGATACAGTTACAGGGGAAATAATCTAAATTGTCTCTATAGGTAACCTGTTTAAGGGCATACAATACAGTTACAGGGTAACCTGTTTAAGGGCATAAGATACAGTTACAATGGAGATAATCTAAATTGTCTCTATAGGTAACCTGTTTAAGGGCATATAATACAGTTACAGGGGAGATAATCTAAATTGTCTCTATAGGTAACCTGTTTAAGGGCATAAGATACAGTTACAGGGGAGATAATCTAAATTGTCTCTGTAGGTAACCTGTTTAAGGGGATATGATACAGTTACAG